TGAATGCTTTGGAGCAGGAGCTCTTTTTAATAAGTTATTGTTGCAGCTTATATAGTGCTATTGGGCCAGCTATTGGCTGGGGCCTCTTGGTGATACTCTTAATAGTTATAATACTCTAACGTAAGTAGTTATAATACTCTAATTAATACAAGTAATTCTGCTATATTTGCTTCATGGAGAATCTCTTATTTAATTCAACAAAAACATAAACATGATTCTGTCTGTGTTGTCGGAAGAATAAAGACCAATGGTGTCCCCTCTGGCAGATGTTTGTCCTTCCACATTATATAGTTATATGTTTATTTCCGTTGTTTAGGGTGGCTAGGAGCTGCCTGTGAAACTCTTCAAGATTATTTCAGGTAAAAATTAGTATAGAAATTGAAATGATTAGACTTAAAATGTATCTATAGCATTTCGATATAAAAGGAAAAATATCATGGGGAGGGGCGGCTTATGCATCTGCAGAACATAAGAATTAAACTACTTTTTTATTTGGACTAAAATATACTAATACACAGAGTCTGTACTGTAGTTAACAGGACAAATGAATTTGCTTGAACAACTGATTTCAATCAAATCACAATATTGCATTTTATTTTGGCAAAGTTTAACAAAGACTTCAAGAAAAACAGAAAAGCTGTTTTCTAAAGGGTGTTATGGTCTTTAGCAGGACCTTGTATTGGAGTCACAATACTTTAGGGGTGGATACAAGAGGGTTATTCTAATGTAGGGGTTGGCAACCTATGGCCTGTAGGCTGAATCCAGCCTGCAGAGCCATTTTATCTGGCCTGCAAAGTCAAGACTGGTAGCATTTCACTGGCCGGGCAGTGGCTGGGTGGTGGGGTAAGTGGCAGCAATGGCTGGATTGGAAGGGCTGGCATGCCTTGGACAGAATTTGATAATTTTACTCTGCCATTACTGAAGCATTGCTGCCCTCTGTACTAGTGAATTCTCCAGCTTGAAACACGTATTTTCCCCTTGCAGTAGTCTGGTCTTGTACTAAGTCCTATTGCTCCTAATTACTTGCAGTGATTTGATTTTTTTTTTTTTTTTTAAACAGCTTGGCCCTTTTCTCCAGAGGGCAATGCTGAAGCTGTGCTTTGACCACGCTCTTTCCAAAACAAACATAATGACATTTAAAAAGAAAATGACATTTTAAATGGTTTACATTTGTAGCTGATGTACAAACTGTCAAATGCCAGGAAGTTCAAAGTTAGGTCTGCTATTTAGATTTTTAATTTAAGCTGAAGGGAAGAGGGTGAGAGATCCTCAGTGATGTAGTGCAGTGGCGGGGAATTGCGTTCAGCCCGTTTGGGGGACAAGCTGTGGGGTTAAGTGTCCACCAGTCCTTCAGATCACAGGATCGCTGTGCAGCCTGGCACAACTGATGGTAAGCAGGATGATAAGAACAGGATTATTGCATATGGGGCTTTAGGTGCACTGTCAAATCTCTACACGGAGGCTTATATGTCTGTCCTTGCTACTCTTGGATAACATTGGTGTATTAGTCCCAGTTTTCATGAGCACTAAATTAAATGATCCATTGGAAAAAGGAAAATAATACCACACATTAAGGATGAACTATTTTGAATTTCCTGGATACTGTCTGTGTCTCGGCTTGAAAATTAAACCCTTCTTTGTACTTGATACACAGTCAATGAAAGGTGAGGTGCAGTTGATGTTTGACAGTTTGGACTGGTCCTATACTGATACATTGTATTAGTTTGAGCATCTTCAGCTGACACTGCACATCATCAATCTTTTACCTTACACTTCATAGCTACCTAACACATGTGCACACACCAAGCAACACCCTGATCTACTGAAAATAACTCAATATTCAACGTTTGGAGAACTAGTACATGCACACGCTTATTTTTACTCGCTTACCCTTTTCTCAGTGACAATCTACGAATGAACTTTGGTATTTTTCCAAATGCATGTTGTTTGTTCGAAACAGTTTCACAATCTTGGATTCTCTCACAAATTGGATCTATTTGTGCCATGTCCTTTACCAAAGGTAAACAGACCTACGGCAACATTTTTCAAAAGCACTGAAGTCCCCTTGACTTTCAGTAACTTGGGGACCTTTGTACA